GGGTCCGTTAAAGAACTCTGACGAGTCTGTTAGAGGTCTCCCTCTGACGGGTCCATTAAAGAACTCTGACGAGTCTGTTAGAGGACTCAGTCTGATGGGTCCGTCAGGTTTGTGGAAGTTTTAACACTACTAATGTTAACTGCCCATGAACCTGATGTTTCAGTTACCAGAGAGTTCTTTTTCCTCTCAGGGTTGAATGAGGAGCTGATTTGATCCTGCATGTTCAACTGGATGGCCGAGGCCATCAGTGTGAGCCTTAGTCGAGAGCTGATGAGCATATAAGAAACAATTCTCGCACATTCCCCGGTGCAGATTCTGGTGACTGGGCTCCATGAATGTAGAACTTCTGTACATCTGTGTGAAATTCTGCCCTTGCAACAAGAAAAATCATTTAAAAATCTTCTCATATCCTCAAGTGTGGCTTCTCTGAGTACATACGATGAACAGAGGATATTTTTATCCAGCATAGGTCTAAAATATTTTATCTGATCTCAGACTCAAACATACAAAGTATCATCTGTAACATAAAGAGGACAAACCTTGGAGATGTAGGAGAGTTTGAGAATTCCCACATTGTCTGAACCTTTGGGCAGGTTCTGAAGAGAAAGAAACAAAAACATCTGCATTAGATTCATTAGGCTGAAGAGATGAACAACTGTGATCCAGTTCAGGTCCTCCAGTTCAGGTTCTCCGGTCCAGTTCAGGTCCTCCAGTTCAGGTTCTCCGGTCCAGTTCAGGTCCCAGTCCAGTTCAGGTCCTCCGGTCCAGTTCAGGTCCTGGTCCAGTTCAGGTCCACCGGTCCAGTTCAGATCCTCTGGTCCAGTTCAGGTCCTCCGGTCCAGTTCAGGTCCCGGTCCAGTTCAGGTCCTCTGTTCCAGTTCAGGTCCTCTGGTCCAGTTCAGGTCCTCCGGTCCAGTTCAGATCCTCTGGTCCAGTTCAGATCCTCTGGTCCAGTTCAGGTCCTCTGGTCCAGTTCAGATCCTCAGGTCCAGTTCAGATCCTCTGGTCCAGTTCAGATCCTCCGGTCCAGTTCAGGTCCTCCGGTCCAGTTCAGGTCCTCCGGTCTAGTTCAGATCCTCTGGTCTAGTTCAGATCCTCTGGTCCAGTGCAGGTCCTCTGGTCCAGTTCAGATCCTCTGGTCCAGTTCAGGTCCTCCAGTCCAGTTC